GGACGACGAGCCGGGCAGGCGCGGGGCTGGCGCAGGTCGGCGGCGCGCAGAGGTCGGGGAAAATTTGGCGTGAAATCCGCGCGACAGCCATCCGGGGTGCAAGAATGCGGCGGTGATCCCTGAGTACGCAAGCTGCGCCTGGCGGACCCAGTGAGGCAGCAATTGTGGACCAGGGCAGAACTCGCAGCCCGGGAGCCCAGAGAAGTGTCTGAGCCCAGTAGAATGGGACTACCGCCATTGTTCCCTCCCGCTCCCGCCCCCGCCCCCACATACAACATCACAATCTAGCGACTGGGGTGCCCAGCCCCGGTGAACACCTAAGGCTCCGCCCCCCACCGTAACAAAGCGACCAGACCGGGGCGGGGGGGGGGAAGGAGAGACAGGGAAAAACATGTTTTCAACAGAGCAGATCAGTCCCCCAGGACTCATCCTTTTGAGCGACCAAGAAATAGCCAATCTATCAGATGCACAGTTCAAAACAATGGTGATCAGAAAGCTCATGGAATTGGTTGATTTTGGGTGCAATTTAGATGAAAGGATGCAGGTTACCATAAAAGAGATGCAGGAAGATACGCGGAGGAGAGCCAATAGTGAAATGAAGGTATCTGAGTCTCAAAACAATACAGCAGACCAGAAGGAAGGTAGAATCAACCAAGCAGGAAGGCATGATGAATTAAGAATTCGAAAAATTGAGGAAAAGCTTAAGAGCATCCAGGACACCTTTAAACGTTCCAACATCTGAATTATAGGGGTACCAGAATCGGAAGGAGAAAAGCAACAAATTGAGCACGTATTTAAACAAATAATAAAGGAGAGCTTCCCCAGTCTGGCAAAGGAAACAGTCTTCCAAGAAATCCAAGAAGCTCAGAGAGCCCCAGAGAATTTGGACCCAAGAAGAAACACACCAAGGCACATCATAATTACATTAGCCAAGGTGAAAATGAAGGAGAGAATCCTAGAAGCAGCAAGAGATAGGGGACAGTCACCTACAAAGGAGTTCCCATCAGACTGTCAGCTCATTTCTCCAAAGAGACCTTACAGGCAAGAAGGGGCTGGAAAGAAGTATTCCAAGTCATGAAAGACAAGGACCTACATCCCAGATTGCTCTATCCAGCAAAGCTTTCACTTAGAATGGTAGGACAGATAAAGTGCTTCTCAGATAAGGTCAAGTTAAAGGAGTTCATCATCACCAAGCCCTTATTTTATGAAATGCTAAAGGGACTTACCTAAGAAGAGATGATAAAGAAAAGACATGTATAGTAAAAGGACAGCAAACTCACAAATATTAACAACCACACCTAAAGCAAAACCAAAAGAAACTAAATAAACAATTAGAACAGGAACAGAACCACAGAAATGGAGGGCACATGGAGGGTTAGCAGCAGGGGGCTGGGAGGAGGAGAGAGGGGAAAAAGTTTCAGAGAATAAGTAGCATAGAATGTAGGTTGAAAATAGATAGGGGGAGGGCAAGAATAGTATGGGAAATGTAGAAGCTAAAGAACTCATAAGTATGACACATGGACATGTACTAAAGGGGGGAAACATGGGTGGGAGAGGGTACAGGTTGGAGGGGAGAGAAGGTGGGAAATGGGACAACTGTAATAGCATAATCAATAAAATATATTTAAAAAATCCCATTTGAAATAGCAAAAAGAAAAATAAAATACCTAGGAATAAACCTAATCAAAGAGGTAAAAGACCTGTATTCAGAAAACTACATAACACTGAGAAGAGAAATCAAGGAAGACACAAACAATTGGAAACATATACTGTGTTCATGGATTGGAAGAATTAATATCATCAAAATGTCCGTACTACCCAAAGCAATTTACACATTCAATGCAATACCTAGTAAAGTACCAATGGCTTATTTCACAGACATTGAACAAACATTTCAAAAATTTATATGGAACCATAAACGACCCCGAATAGGTGCTGCAATTTTGAGAAAGAAAAGTAAAGTAGGAGGGATCACAATACCTGACACTAAACTATACTACAAGGCCACTGTAATCAAAACAGCCAGGTACTGGCATAAAACCAGGCACATGGACCAATGGAACAGAACAGAGAGCCCAGAAATAAACCCAAGTCTCTACGGTCAATTAATATTTGACAAAGGAAGCAGCAACATAAAATGTAATAAAAATAGCCTCTTCAACAAATGGTGTTGGGAGAACTGGACAGCTACATGCAAAAAAATGAAACTCGAGCACCAATTTACACCTTACAGAAAAATAAATTCAAGGTGGATAAAAGACTTAAATATAAATTGTGACACCATTAAAGTCCTAGAGGAGAACGTAGGTAGGAAAATCTCAGATATTTCACGCAGAAACTTTTTTACTGACATGTCTCCTAGAGCAAGGGACACAAAGGAAAAAATAAACAAATGGGACCTCATCAAAATAAAAAGCTTTTGCACAGCTAAATAAAACAGTATCAAAATAAAAAGAGAACCAACTGTATGGGAAAACATATTTGCCAATGATACCTCAGACAAGGGTTTAATCTCCAAAATATATAAAGAACTTACACGACTGCACTCTAAGAAGACAAGTAACCCAATTAAAAAAATGGGCAAAGGACTTGAACAGACACTTCTCCAAGGAGGACATACAGAAAATCCAAAGACACATGAAACGATGTTCAATATCGCTAGCTATCAGAGAGATGCAAATTAAAACCACAATGAGATACCACTTCACACCAGACAGAATGGCCATCATAAACAAAGCAACAAACAACAAGTGTTGAAGAGGTTGTGGAGAAAAGGGGTCCCTAATGCACTTGTTGGGACTGCAGAGTGGTACAACCACTATGGAAAGCAGTATGGAACTTCCTCAGAAAACTAAAAATGAATCTGCCTTTTGACCCTGCGATTCCACTGCTGGGACTATATCCTAAGAACACTGAAACACCAATAGAAAAGAACCTTTGCACCCCGATGGTCATAGCAGCACAATTTACAATAGCTAGGTGCTGGAAGCAACCTAGATGCCCATCAGTAAATGAATGGATCAAAAAACTATGGTACATTTACACAATGGATTTGTATGCAGCAGAAAGAAAGAAGGAGCTCCTACCCTTTGCAACAGCATGGATGGAGCTGGAAAGCATTATGCTAAGCGAAACAAGCCAGGCAGTGAAAGACAAATACCACATGATCTCACCTTTAACAGGAACCTAAATAACAAAACAAAGAAACAAGCAAAATATAACCAAAGACACTGAAATAGGGGACAGACTGTCAGTGACCAGAGGGGAGAGAAGAGGGAATTTCAGGGTGGAATGGGTAGGGTTTACAGGAACAAATTTGGAGGACACATGGACAAAAACTAGGGGTGGGGGTAATGGGGGGGGAAGAGGGGAGGGTTGGGTGGGTGGGCTGGAATGGGATTAAGTGGGATAAAACTGTACTTGAACAATGATTAAAATAAAATTTAAAAAAATCAAAAAAAATATGAGAGAATCTTAAAAGTAGGAAGAGAAAAGGTGACAGATACCTACAAAGTAGTTCACATAAGACTATCAGCTGATTTCTCTAAAGAAACTTTACAGGCAAGAACAGGATGGAAAGAAGTATTCCAAGTCATGAAAGACAAGCATCTATATCCAAGATTACTCTGTCCAGCAAAGCTATCACTTAGAATGGAAGGGTAGATAAAGTGCTTCCCAGATAAGGTCAAGTGAAAGGAGTTCTTCATCACCAAGCCCTTATTATATGAAATGTTAAAGGGAGTGATCAAAGAAAAAGAAGATGATCACAAATAGGAACAGTAAAATGATAAGAGACTCACAACTATCAACAACTGAACCCAAAAAACCCCCAAAACAAACTAAGCAAACAACTAGAACAGGAACAGAATCACAGAAGTGGAGATCACATGGAGGGTTATCAGCCAGGAGGGGGCAGAATGGGGGCAAAGGTATAGGGAATAAGAAACATAAATGTTAGGTACAAAATAGACAGGGGGAGTTTAAGAATAGTATGGGCAATGGAGAAGCCAAAGAATTTGTATAAGTGACCTATGGACATGAACTAAGGTGGGGGATTGCTGGTGGGAGTGGGGGTACAGGGAGTAGGGGAGTAAAGGGGAGATAAAAATGGGACAACTCTAATAGCATCATCAATAAAATATATTTAAAAATACTATTCTGATAATGGGTCAGTATGCTCTATCAGACTATGTATCTATTGTACCTAAGGGGTTGCAAATCCCTTCTCTTTGCCTGGAAATATATCTTTACCCCTAATTACTACCTAGAAAACTAAACATTTTTTCTAAAATCTTGGTGAAATATTTTCTCAAGAAAGCCTCTTCCAGCTTCCCTGGAAATCTGTTTTTGTGTATTGTTAGTAATGGTTATATGTGTCTTTTGTAGTTTAATCCCACTGTTTGTTATTAACTCGGTTGATAATGCCTTCAGTGTTGGCATCATGATATGATATGTTTTTGTATCTCTAGGGCTTGATACAATGCCTGTCATATGGATGATCTACTGATGAGTGAGTGAATAATGAGGCTTTAGTGTAGCATAAAAAATACATTAGAATGAGAATGTTACTGAGGGAAGGCAAGGCCAGGGCAGTAAGTCTTGAGGAAGAATGGCAGTATTTGGGATAGTTGGGGAAGATGTGATTAAATCAGGGATTAGGGAACCAATTAGATATAAAAGGCTAATGGAAGAGTCAAAAAATAACTGAAATGTTGGTCTAGGTTAATTGGTGAAAAAATTATTAATAACAAGATAGAGAAGTTAGGGAACAGGGCAAGTTTTTTGGAGATAGTAAATACTCTATTTCTTGGTTAAAAATATCCAGCTTATTTTTGCATCTAAACTGAGTTAAGAATAAGCTACATGTTTTATAGAAATGAAATCATGTTTTATATTTAATATACTTTACAGCATAAAATGTAGTTCTCAGTAAATACTGTGTTGTCAAGAAAATGTAATTTTGCCATCTTTGGTACATGTGTATTGTTTTTTTCTTTTAGATTCCAGTATAGTCAGTGGTGTTGTACTTCAAGACTTACTGGCATATGTATCTTCAAAACATTCCTATCTCAGAGATCTTCCTCAGAGGCAGCCTCAGAAAATGAGCAGTATAGAATTTGTAGAATTGGAGCAGCTTCAGCCTGACATGTTAGTCCATGCAGTACTAAGAGTCATTGATATCACTATACTGACAGGTAATTATTTTGGTCACCTCCTTAATTTTAGATTATAAAATAACTAAGATACAAGACCTTAGTGTACAATTTGTTAATTATTATATCTTTATCATTAGACATTAAAATATGGTATCACATGTGATAGAGTAACTAAAATATTCCTTTTTTCTTTTCCAGAGGCATTATATAGTTATAGAGGAGAGAAGCAAAGGAAAGTTATGTTAACAGTGGAACAGGCCAAAGGTCAACATTATGTACTTATATTATGGGGTCATGGAGCAGCCTGGTATCCTCAACTTCAAAGGAAGAAAGGTAAATAAGGCAAAAAGCATTTAATTTGTTTATAGTTAGGTAAGTGGTTAATGCTTATGAGCCTAAGATGAAGAGACTTTTAAGAGATTTATATTAGATTTAAAATATAAGAGATCATGATTAAATATTCTTCTATTATAATAGAGTTCTTCCATTATAATTTTATACCTCCTGTAAGCAAGTAAGTAATCTAAAAAGTCCTCTACAGTGGGTGTTCCCTTGAGCACACCCACGCCTTACTTCCCTCTCAGGTATGCATCTTTACTTTTCCCTCTTAAACTCTAAGGAACCCCGTGAGACTTGCAACCATGACAATATTCAGTTGTAGCTCTTCCCTGGCTAACCCCTTAAACCTCTATCCAAGGCCCCCTTTTCTCTGACTTTTCAGTGAGCTAACAGCAGCTCCACCTGGGTTCATTTTTTTTCCATAACGTTTCTGGAGAGCCAAAGCACAGCACCACTTACTTAGGCTCCCTCCTGTTGCTTCTGCCTTCAAGCCTTCCTTGTTTCACTGCCACAGCTTTAATGAATGTACTCTTGAAAGAAGTCAATACATAAAGTTAATGGTGGTAAAAATAAAAGCTTCCATTTATCCCCAAGTATGCTCTTTACCATTTTAGCAAAGATTTTATCTCCTTCAGATAATGTTCTTTAAAAATTTAATTCTGGAGAAGCTTGTTCAATTTTTATCCAGACAAAGTACTCTGATAAATAAACTTCTCTCTGGTTATAAGGCAGATATTAGGGTAGTTGCATTAACTCTTTGAAATTACAGTGTTACTGTTTAGTAAATTATTGTGTTCCAGGTTTTTATTCCAGTTATTTTAAATGTGTAGACTATTAGCCATCCATAGAATGTTTATGGTTAAAATATGACTGATGATTACATTTTAAAGCATAAATTAATAATTTATGATGTATTGAATAAAATGGAATTGTTTTTTCAATAAAATAGTGTATTTTCCTTTTGATATTATGACATCCTTTAATTGTAACAAAGATATTATAATTAGTGGCTCATGAATTATTTTATCCTGCTAAATTCATTCAGAGATTAAGTGTGTGTTCCATTCTTTTTTACCTGAAAGAGTTAATGTTTCTTCTTGAACTTCTACCTACAAAACAGTTACCTAAAGATAGAATCTGTCACATTGTCTCTCTTAATCATTAATAGCCTATTACTAGGATTTGAGATAAGTCCAATTTGATCCTTTTATGTTAGGATCAAATAGTGACAAATATTTGTTTGGTTGAGAAATCTGACAAAAGTGTCAATGATAGACTAACCATCATTACTGACCACCATTTCCATAGTCAGAAGCATGAGTCTAGTGCATGCTGATCAAAATGTGGGTAAAAGGTATTCCAATTCTAAATAGCAAAGCAGATTGCTCCATCCTTAATATAAATAGTCTTTTAAAATGAATAGCTGTTTGGTTGATAAAAGAGAAATGATAGTTGTCTTGAGATAATTCTATGGTATTTAGTTTAATATTCAAAATTTATGAATCCTGGAATTAAGATGTAGTTCTTTGTTTACATTGGCATGCTTTATTAATAACCATCATTTTTAAGTTTTAATATTCACCTCAATACCTTGAGAGTATTCTTTTAAAAATGGGAATACCAATTGCAAATGGTCATTTAAGTAAGTGGTTTCTACTTTCAGAAATCGTTAGCATTCTATTTATTTATTATTTCTTGACGCATTCTCTATTAACCTTCCTTTATATTGGGCACTGGTTTTACTTGTTTCCAAGGACTTAAAAATATTCACATTTAGGTGATATAATCAGAAAGAATTGTGTTGAATCATTACTGATTCAGTCATTATTGAATACTAAAGATAGCAGAGTTGATGTTTTTGGGAAGAATAACAAGAAATTCCAAGTTCACATTTGGTATGTCTCACACGTAGCAAGCATTGGTCACAATTTGCATCTTAATGAGGGTGGATTAGAGACCTAAATGACACTTCTTAATTATTGGGAACACCTAAAATAAGCTATTCAGAACTAAATGCTATTCCAATGCAATATCCTTCTGAAATAATTTAATAGAAGTCTAACATTTAAAAAATAACATTGTAATAAAGTATTGTCATGACATTACTAATTAAGCACAGAATAAATGCAAATAATCCCAATGTCTGTGGTTATACTTAATGAAAAATCATAGTTATGTATGCATGGAGGTTTGAAATTCATTCACACCTTTTTAAAAAAATTTAAATCATTTTTTATTTTTCAGTTACAGTTCACATAGAATATTGTATTATTTTCAGTTGGGACACCACTGATTAGACGTTACACAAATTACTAAGTGATCATCCAATAAATCTTGCACCCATCTGACACCATGCATAGTTATTAGAATAGTCCCTATGCTGTAATTCACAACTCCATGACTATTCTGTAACAACTAATTTGTACCTCTTAATCCCTTTACATTTTTCACCCATTCCCCCAATCCTCCTCCCAGCTAGCAGCAGTCAAAATGTTCTCTGTATCTATGAGTCTGTTTCTGTCCTCCTTGTTCATTTGTTTTGTTTTTTAGATGCAGTTGTGATAGAATGTATTTATTGCCATTTTATTGTTTTTATTTTTGATCTTTTTTCCCTTTGTTAAAAATGATTTTATTTATTTATTTTTAGACAAGGAGGGAAGGAGAAAGAGGGAGAGAAACATCAGTGTGTGGTTGCCTGTCACGTGCCTCCTATTGGGGACTCGGCCTGTAACCCAGGCTTATGCTCTGACGGGGAATTGAACCAGTGACCCCAGCACTCAATCCACTGAGTCACATCAGCTAGGGCTTTTTTCTCCTCCTTCTTAAAGAAGATCCTTTAACATTTCATGTAATACTGGTTTGGTGATGATGAACTCCTTTAGTTTTTGCTTATCTGGGAAACTCTTTATCTGTCCTTCACTTCTAAATGATAGCTTTGCTGGGTATAGTAATCTTGGTTGTGGGTCTTTGCTTTTCATCACTTTGAATATTTTTTGCCAATCCCTCCAGCCTGCAAAGTTTTTGTTGAGAAATCACCTGACAACTCCCTTGCCTTTAAGATCTGTCTTTAACCTTTGGTATTTTAATTATGATGTGTTGGGTCTACCTGGGTAGCTCACTTGGTTAGAGCATCATCCCAGTACACCCAGGTTGTGGGTTCAGTCCCTCATCAGGATGTTACCAGACGAGGACTGACTTGGAATGGGCCTGCCTCAGGCAGCTTGTAGTGTGTAGGTTGTTGACTTTGTATAGGAAAGATTACAACATGAATCCAAGTGAATTTAAAGGTACATTTATTAAAGCTGGGGACAGTGAAACAAAGGAAGGACTTAGGGTAGACAAAGTAAGAAGAGAGTAATAGGACAGAGTGTAGGCAGTTCTCTGCTTTGACTCCCTAGAAATGTTATAGGAAAGGAGTAAGCCAAGGCAGGTATCCTTTTAGCTCACTGGGAAGTGAAGGTCACGGAGACAGAAGTTAACCAAGGTGGAGATGCTTTTAGCTTCCTGGGAAGTCAGAGAAAAAGCAGGGCTGGGACACAGGATCAGGGGATAAGCCTGGGTTGAGCTTCTGTTGCCCTCTCTTCCCCTGGATGCAAGTCTCATGGGGACCCTTAGAGTTTGGGAGGAAGTAAAAAGTTCAAGAAGGGGCATGGGTGAGCTTTAGAGCAAACCTACCCTGAGTCTTTGTCCTGAGGGCTTTTTATCTTTCTTCTGTGAGTGAGAATCTTAGCAGAGGGTTTCAGTAGAATATGCATCAGTTTTCAAGGTAATTTTTAATATGCTGATAAGTCAAAATGTGTGCACCAGGGTGGGGATTGGGAATATCCTTTGGTCTGCTATGTTGTTTTACTTTTATCTTGGGTCTGCCTGGCTTTTAATGGGTTTTTGTTATTAGTCCCCTGGCTTCATTTGTTCTTGGGTTTAGCGGGCACAAATGGCATTAATTGGGTCTCTGTTCTCTGTTTCCCAGACCAGGATGATTTAAGCTATGTATTCTTTGGTGGGGAAGGAGAGGTATAAACCATTTACTCTCAAGTGCCCTTGGTTAGGGGAGATAAAGTCTTGTGATTCACCAGCTGGCTGTAATTTGCTCAAACTGTTTGGCCTTAATTTTCTTGTCTCAGTTTCCTCATTCCACTTGCTCTGGAATTTTCCTAGCTTTTTACTATCCTGTCACAAGGGCACATATAAGAAGCAACCAATGAATGCATAAATACATGGAACAACAAATTGATGGTTCTCTCTCTCCCTCTTTCTAAAAAAATCAATAAAGAATATTAATTTAATTTGGTATGTCTTGGTTTGGGCCTCTGGGTTCATCTTGTTTGGGACCCTGGACTTTCTGAACTTTCCTTTTATTTCCTTTATTGTGTTAGGGGAGTTTCCGGTCATTATTTTTTCAAATAGGTTTTCAATTTCTTGCTCTCTCTCTTCTCTTCTAGCACACCAATATGCAAATGAGGCTTCATCTACTCTACTGTTGATTCCCCGTAAATTATTCTTCATTTCAGTTGGTTTATCTTCATTTCTGACTGGTTCTTTTTTATGTTTCCATGTCTTTTTTTACCCTGTTGAAGCTGTAAGTTCAACTTCTTTTCCTTTAAGGTCATTGAGCATCCTTATAACCAGTGTTTTGAATTCTGCATCTAGTAGGTTGCTTGTCTCCATTTTGTTCAGGGTTTTTTTTTTCCTGTTCTTTATCTCTTCATTTTGACAGCCTCTCTGTGTTTGTTTCTGTGTATTTGGTAGAATGGTCTAATGTAGTAGGTGTCTTGTAGGGTCTAGTGGTACAGCCTCCCTGATCATCCAAGCTGGGCATTCCAGGTGCACCCCCCCACCCTCATGTGGGCAGTGTACACTCTCCTGTTGTAGTTGAGCCTTGATTGCTGTCAACAGGTCAGTGGAAGGGATTTGCCCCCGGGCTGATCAGCTATGAGTACTGGCTGTGATCACCATGGAGAGTCAGCTGCACAGGGGCCCACTCCACAGAGCAG